CAACACCACCTCAACCAATTCCTTTTCTCCTTTTTTTATATCCAGGAAAATCTTTGAATCAGGCTGCTCCTCCCAGCATGCCCATTATCTCCCAGTCAGAAACAAAGAACCCACGGATTAACCAGCTCTCAGCCCGCTGGCAGCAGGTCTGGCTGCTGGGGTTGGAGCGGCAGCGGAAGCTCAACGATGCCCTGGACAGACTGGAGGAGGTAACTGGGCAGAGCTGCTCTGGGCAGGGGGGAAAGCGGTGCTGGGGAGGGTGAGAGAAGCATTTTAAATTAGTCGTGCTTTTTGAATTGCTCAGTTCTCACACACAGTTACTGCTGCCTCTCTGAAAATGCCAAAAGAATGAGGAGAAAAAAAATAAACTCCTAAAATATTAAGGCTGAAAACTGCCTTCTGTAATTAACAGCACGTTAATGAACTGCTTTGCGCCCCTGCAGTCGGTATCTGTAGAGGTATCACAGCCAGGCCTGCTTTACTCCTAGTAATTAGTTTAACAATTACTGTCAATATCTTTTTCCAAACATCTAATGTCATTTTTGTTTTTATTTATGCTTAACAAAGCAGCTATGCCCAGAAGTGAGTGGTGTTTTTTTGTTTTTTGTTGCTTTTGCTGTAGGTCAGTTCAGTTTATACGTATTAATGTTTTGGTTTTTTTTCTTTGTTGCTTTTAACTCCAAAAAATGTTTAGAGGAAAAAAAAAAATGTGCTAAAAATTGTCGCATTACCTTGCTCCTTTAGCTGGTGGGATTGTGGGGGTCCTTTTTGGGAGTGGGGTAAAAAGGGTGTTAGTTGAAATCATAGAATGGTTTGGATTGGAAGGGACTTTAAAGCTCATCCAGTCCCAACCCCCCTGCCAGCAGCAGGGACACCTTCCACTAGACCAGGTTGCTCAAAGCCTCATCCAACCTGGCTTTAAACACTTCCAGGGAGGGGGCATCTACAACTTCTTTGGACAACCTGTTCCAGTGTCTGACCACCCTTACAGTGAAGAACTTCTTCCTAATATCTAATCTAAACCACCCCTCTTTCAGCTTAAACCCATTTCCCCTTGTTCTGTCATTAACTGCCCTTAATTGGAGGGCGAGTGGCTCATCAGAGGCTGATGGCAGAGCCGTGGTGCCAGGGTTTGCAGAGCTGAGATGTGCCCCAGCTGCTGGTTTAGCTGGAAAATGAGCAAGAAATCCCTTCTCAGCTGCTTAGACAGAAAGGGAGAGGGGAGATGCGAGCCCAAAATGATGCCAGCAATGGGTGTTCCTAGAGTGTGTGTGTCTGTGTGCCAGTAGCTGATCTCTGCCTCTGTGTCCGTATGCCACCGTGGGGGATGCTGCATCCTGTGTCCATGGTTCCGTGACGCCCGGTCCACGTGCGGCTGTCGGCTACGCTGTGTGTCCTTCTGTTCCTGAAAGTCCATTTGAGCAGTTTCCTCGTTAACAAGAGTTGTCTGGATAAACCCAGATTAACCTTCCCGGTGGGGTGGGCGATGAGTGTTAACAATGGGAGCTCGGGCACAGGCTCACCCATGGTTTTTTAGGGTGCTGTAGAGCTGGGGGTGCTGCTGCTTTGGGGTTTTCCCTGCTGACTCTCACTGGTTTCCTTCCAGTTGAAGGAATTTGCAAACTTTGACTTTGATGTCTGGAGGAAGAAGTATATGCGCTGGATGAACCACAAGAAATCCCGCGTCATGGACTTCTTCCGGCGCATCGACAAGGATCAAGACGGGAAAATCACCCGGCAGGAGTTTATCGATGGCATCTTGGCCTCCAGTAAGTCCCTGTCTGCTCAGAAAACGGCCACCTCGATGTGATGAGAGGTTGTCCTTGCCCCAGGACTGAGATGCAAACAGTGCTCTGACATCCCTGGCTCTGATGAGTGAGGTCATCAGTTGCTCATTTCTCTCTCCTACCAGAATTCCCCACCACCAAGTTGGAGATGACCGCGGTGGCCGACATCTTTGACCGTGATGGTGACGGTTACATCGATTACTACGAGTTTGTGGCTGCTCTCCATCCCAACAAGGATGCCTACCGCCCCACCACTGATGCTGACAAGATTGAAGATGAGGTAAAGCACCAAAGGAGATGGGTGCTTGGGGTGGGGATGGTTCAGCCTGCGGGTTGGCAGTGGGGAAGACAAAAAGAAGATTTAAAAAAAATAAAATAAAATAAAATTTGGTGGTGCTGAGCTAAAATAATTGGCTGGTACCACCAGTACCTACCGTGTTTTTGAAGGAAAAGCTGCTCAGGGATGTGTGTTATCCAAGCAGCGCCTTGTATTTGGGGGAGACTCACAAAATCCTGATCCCTTACTTCTCTTGTTGGTGTTGGCAGGTCACCAGGCAAGTGGCCCAGTGCAAGTGTGCCAAGAGATTTCAAGTGGAACAGATCGGCGAGAACAAATACCGGGTAAGGCAGAGGGGACTGAACCCTGCCCTGGTGACACAAACCCTGCTCCCCCCGTCCCACCAGCCAGGGATCACCGACAGGGTGCCCAGCCTGGCGCAGGGGACACCCCTGGGCAAGCCGAGGTGAGATGGTGACCTTGTCCTCTGACACACCGGCTCCTGGCAGAGGTGGCTGAGCCGTGTTTGCCCAGCGCCGTCCTCAGCCCCAGGGCGTTCCCCGAATCAGGAGAACATAAAAGTGTCCCTGTTCTGGGGCTGCTGGCTCGCCCGCGCCCCGGAACGCCCCCCTC